TTAATTTTCTACTGTAGAATATAATAATTCCTTCAATCAAAAAAATAAAAATAAAAACTTCCGTTGTGCCCAGTACTGGACCCTTTCTGTCAATAATGACGTGTGGTCGGCAGTTGCTCTTTGATTTTCTTGCCCATCTCCATTGCTTCTATCTTCCTTTAAATTTACGAGCTTCCACTAACATCCTGCAAGCTAATTAAGCAACCTCTTTCAGCAAGCTCAACATAGCGATGATCTTGGATGCTTTCATGAGCAAATTCTCTACTTTGCTAGCTGATCTTGTCCACGAAGAGGTGATCATGCAGCTAGGTGTCAAGGATGAGCTTCAAACACTACGTTGTCGGATGAAGAGCATCCAATGCCTTCTGGAAGATGCTGAAAGGAAAAAGTTTAATGAGTCATCATCCACCAAACTCTGGCTTTCTGAGCTTAAGGATGTCATGTACGATGCCGAAGATATCATTGACCTATGTAGAATCAAGGGCACTCAGCTGCTCGCTGATCAAAATCTTCAATCTAGAACTTCTTCGATACGTGGATATTTCTCATCTGCAATCTCCTGTTGCGCGAGTGTTACTTTCCGTCATGAGATTGGAAACAAAATTAAGGATATTAATAAAAGACTCGAGCATATATATGAAGATAGGAAACATTATAAACTTGCGAAATCCATGATATCCAAAACCCCACAATTTACTCTACCTGATTCTCGTAAAACTTCTTCCTTGGTTGATTCTTATGTTGTGGGAAGAGAGATTGAGGATGTAGCAAATAGTTTGGTTGATTGTTTGATGGGGGAGAAGGTTGATGAAAAATGCTCTGTTATTGTTGTTACCGGCATGGGCGGGATAGGGAAGAAAACTCTGGCTAAAAAAATTTTTAACCATCCAAAAATTCAAATCTATTTCAATAAAAAGGTGTGGGTTTGTGTTTCAGAAACTTATGTTGAAATTGAGTTATTGAAGCAAGTAATAAGAGAGGTAAACGGGAACTATGGAGATGTTAATACTAAAGCAGAGCTAGAACTCATTCTTAGAGATTCTATTGCTTTAGTTCACAACCTTTTTCTTGTTTTAGATGATGTTTGGAGGGGGAATGTGACGACCCCAATATCCGTGTAGCGAAAGGATTCATCTGATCGTTCTATTGCCTCTTTTTTTTTTCTTCTTCTTTGCTATCGGTTTCCTCATCTGTTGTTATATCAATCCATACATACATATATCCAGAGCTAGAGATAATTAC